GACGCTTTAATAACGATCGGAACGCGTTTGAGAGGGTCCCTTTTCACTCTTGCACTCTGTGGTGATGCATGTGTTACTAATAGCTTTTTTCTACTGCATGGTACGGCTCAGTACGGTTCGGCTCGCTTCGCTTTTCCACTGCGTGGTACGACTCGGCACGGCACGGCTCGGTTCGCTTTAGCTCGGTTTGCTTTTCCACTGCAGTCAGTACCACTTTAAAGTGGGTGGGATAGTCTGATCGTTATAGTTTATCCGCTCCTCAGCAACCAACGAGAGGAACGTCTGCACTTCGTCCACTGACCACGATTCAGCCATTTATTTTTTGGAACTTTTTTTCTTTCTTTTTTCTTCAACCAAGTCAAGCAAGTAGTTTTAAAACAGCTGCTACAGCGGTGGCTGTTGCTGGCTATTTAAATCTAGCGGGTTTGATGTCTCGCAAATACAATGACGCTGGTAGTGACAATTCTGTCTGACCAATCAGTGATCTGCAGTGTTTTCGCGTCACACTTTAGTATCGGTACGGGACGATTGGAACCTCGACAGAGGTGGTACCATTTAAAGCGAGCCGTACCGTACCATGCAGTGGAAAAGCACCACAAGTGAGCCGTACTGAGCCATGCCGTACCATACCATGCAGTGGAAAAGCGCCAAAGCGTGCCGTGCCGTACCGTACCATGCAGTGGAAAAGCGCCACAAGTGAGCCGTACCGAGCCGAGCCGTACCATACCATGCAGTGGAAAAGCGCCAAAGCCTGCCGTGCCGTACCGTACCATGCAGTGGAAAAGCGCCATAAGCGTGACTGTGAAGATGGATAGGTTAAACTATAATTGATAGCTGTCAAATTATATTACAGTGTTTCCCATACATTTCTCATTTCTGGATTTTTTCTACAATATTCACTCATGACAGTAAAATAGGGCATTCTAAGTCAATCTACTGTAGTATTTCCTCTCTCACTCAGTAGAAAATGTGGTTAACCCAGTCATGCTTAGGAAAAAAAAAATACCGTCATATACCGCGAAACCGGTATAATTTTGAAAAATACCGTGATTTGGATTTTTGGTCATACCCCCCAGCACTATTCTCCCACATATGTGGTCTGGACCAGGACTCATTCACCTTAGTGGAGAGTGTTTCTGTGTAATTCGCTGTGTATGTTGATGGTAATGAAAGGGAGAGAGAGTTTATGGATACGACTTTAATAATGCGCACTTCTTGTACTGTTTTATTCAGCTGTTACAGTGATTTTCTGGAGTGAAAATGGACGCTTCATCTTTTGTGTGATGTACAATAAACTCATCAGTAAAGTTTTGGCCATCATTCGAACGGGGTCCGCTACAACAGGCTTGTCGTGGATAAAAGCAAGGTGACAACATAAGTTGTACCTAACTGTAATTAAACTAAACTATACCTGTTCTATCTCCGTACAGCATATATTCTCTGGCTCTGTAGGCATTAAAGTCCGACTGACAATTCAGTGTGCATGAGATTGTCTAGGGGTGCGTTTCCCGTACAACGCCGTAACTCGCTGCTTAAGTACAAGGGGTGGGAATCTCTAGGCACCTCACGATTCGATTCCGATTCAGAGGGCTGCGATTCGATGCTAAAGCAATTATCTGAATCTCTTTTTTGTGTGTGTGTGTGACTTTAAATACTTTGCTTTAAAAGTACAAAGTAATGACCCATAAAGAATTAACGTACAATATATTTTATTAACATTGCAAAGAACCAACAGGAAAATAAATGTGCCTGAACTAGCAGCATACTTGTAGTAAATTAATAATATAACAACGACCGTTACAGCCGAGTGTTTTCCCTTCTCTGGGTGGAAACGTGTCATATGGCTTCTCATATTTGTTGTGTTTCCGAAATATTTTAGTTTTATTCTACAAACCTTACAAATAGTGTGGCTCTCGTCCAGCTCCTTTCCCCCTTCAACTTCATAGAAGCCAAAATATTTCCACACGTCAGCTTTTAACGAGGAGGGTGTTTGGATTTCGCGCTCTCTGCCATCACGTCTCTGTTATGTGCACGCCATAGACGGTCCGGGTACTGCACTTCTGCGCTTCAGAGTTCCGTCTTTTGCGTTCTGTCAATATTACGTTATTATAAATATATATATAAAAAATATATATAGCCTATATATATATATATATATATATTTTTTTTTTTTTTTTTTTGAAAATCGATTTTTGACATTTGTGAATCGATTCAGAATCTAACATGTCCGCATCCCGATGCATCTAAGAATCGATTTTTCCCCCACCCCTATTAACTACCATAGTACGATGCATCGTTGAAGAAATCAACTTGCTAGTCACGACTGTTTCCCTGTTGACGAACTAAAAGACGTAAATTGCATTTGTAATATGTAGGCCTATTCTAAATAAAATATATAGATTGTACTGAATGTCAGCTTGCTTATGTTGCTCAAGATACGGATATATTAAGTCCACATGTCATGAAAACTAGAAACTATGCTTCTAACCACCTGTCGTTCTAACCACACAACTTTGCGATGCCGTTTGCGAATGTTCTTTGGAACTATGTTTTCGGGAAACACAGACTCGTTAAACTATGCTGATAACGACGGAGCTTTGCAACCATAGTTGGCTAACGATTCAGAATGCAGCAGCCAGACTTTTGACTGGCACGAGGAAGTTTGATCATGCCCCAATATTGCATCCGTTGCACTGACTGCCAGTTTGTTATAGAGTTGATTTTAAAATACTGCTTTTTGTTTTTAAAGCCATAAACAAATTAGCTCCAACCTATCTCTCTGATCTTTTGAAATTAAATGACTATGTTAGATCATTGAGGTCATCTCAACAAAGATTGTTGATGGTTCCAAGTTCAAGACTGAAGACGAGAGGTGACCGTGCGTTTTCTGTTGTTGGTCCAAAACTGTGGAATAGTCTTCCTGTGTCTTTAAGACTAATATCCACAGAGTCTGTTTTTAAATCTAAGTTAAAAACTTACCTGTTTTCACTGGCTTACAATTGTCCTTGATTTTTGATGTTGAATTGTTAAATTGGTGTTTCTGATGTAAACTCCCTTTATCATTTACTTTGCGGATGGTCTAGTTTTTAAGATATTTATTCTGTTGTACAGCACAATGGCCAACTACTGTTGCTTTTATTGTGCTATATAAATAAAAGGTGATTGATTGATTGATTGATAACGATGCTTTTGGGAAACGCACCCGTTTGTTTGTTGCACAAGCTCTTGAAGCCCCGCCCTCTTCTTGAAAGGGGGCCGGAAGCAGCACCTCATTTGTATTTAAAGGGACACACACAAAAACGGCATGTTTTTGCACATCCTCAAAAAGTGGCAATTTTAACACGCTATAAAAAATTATATGTGGGGTATTTTGAGCTAAAACTTCACATACACACTCTGGGGACATCAGAAGCTTATTTTACATCTTGTAAAAATGGGCATAATAGGTGCCCTTTAACTTCTACCAAAGTATTTCCGGTAAGATATCTATACTTTTACTCAAGTGTGGCTTTCAAGTACTTTATCCACCAGTGCTTTTACCATCAAATAAATCCAGAACTCTCAGTTGATTAGCTTGTTGCGTGTATGCGGTTATTATTTGAAATGCAGTCTGGAGTTAAGGCTGGAATACACTACACAACTTTTGCCCAGATTTCTGCTCTGGTTTTCTGAACACATCTGAACACGTGGATACATGTCGAAAGTCAGAGTTAGGCAATGCAAGTTGTCAGATTTTGCACACAAAAAAATCACATTGTGTATGATCGGGACAGGTTTTTTAGTTTCAGACTTCGATTACATCCAGTTGGAGGATATCAAACATGTTTAAATTTTAGGACATGTATTTTTTTTTTCATTTGTTTTCTAGCAAGGCAAGACAAGTAACAAAGCACACGTTTATGTGTGAGTGTTTGAAACTACTTGAAAGTCTGGTAGTGTGTGATACTCTGTTTTCATACTGTTATCATACAATAAACAACTGTCTTTGCTTGCAAAGATAATATGGTTGTATAACAGGGGTGTCCCATCCAGCAGGGTTTAACCAGAGATATTCTTATTATGGGGAACCATCTAGCTAAGTTCTGCAACAATAATCCCATTAAAGCTGCAGTCCAGCGTTTTTCCTCTTTGTCGCCATCTCTGTTCAAAATCTGCAATCGCAGTCATTCGTGGAATTATCAACTTTACGTGAGTTGTACTTCGATACGACAGCGCGAATGAACACAATGTTTGAGGAGACTGTGAGGCTGTCAGTCACCACGCCGGTGTGGATACTGTCATTCAGAATCACAAATTATTCTTTTTGGAAGTATGACCAACATAATAATTTTCACTGGAAAATGTCATCTGAACTAGTAAGAAACATTCACCTTTGTTCTGGTTCTGACATTGCAGTAAATCGCGCTGATTAAATCTAACAATCACTTATAAGTTATCATATCATGCAAAACCGTGCAAATTATACTTTGTTCTCAAATTGTTAATGTTAACAACGTCAGCATTGCGTGACTACATGTAATGTCCTTCCGATATGCATCCTTGTTTTCGCATGTGTCCGGTTGCAGTCTCTTTTTTTCTGTAGCCACTCCGAAGTCCGAACGAAGTCTTTTGCATTTTACAGCGGGTGAATCTGTTGTCACTGGTGATTGTCGTTTGAACCTTTCTGGATCCGCCATCAAATTGATAAGTTTAATTATATCAAGTGCTGTGAGAAAAGGCTATAAATCTCCACCTCCAACATCCTCACACGCAATATAGCCTACTAGACGAGACTCCTCCTTTATGTGTACAGATGTGACGTAATGACGCAAAGACATGCTTGAATCTCCTGTGGAAATCCACCAGTACCACTGGAATTAAAAACATTATTACAAGCTTACCGCTTTGAATCGAGCTAAGGCAAGCAGCTAGTTTTGAACACTGGCTGGTTATGTATTTTCTCAAATATGTATTTTGGATAATTTTTAACCCAAAAAAAGCTACGGACTGCAGCTTTAAGTTCAGCAAGGAATCTTGGGGTCATTTTTGATGACCAGCTGACCTTCAAAGACCACATTGCTGCAACAGCATAATCATGCAGGTTTGCAATGTACAACATCAGGAAGATCAGGGCCTTCACTCCCTTAACTGCAGCCAGCTAAAAATAAATAAATGAATTCTATTTCACTATCAATTTCACTATATTCCTTTGCTCTTGCTATTTCTTAATCCCTCCTATTCTAGCTTGTACAATCCTAAGCGATGACTGAAACTTTGTATTACTAGCATTTCTCATGTTTATTGCCTCTTTAAGATGAACCGCTTTTTGTATTCCTCAGTTGTAAATCAAGAGACAGTCTTTTATTTTTCCAAAGTGAAGCTCTTACGGCTTCTCCAGCGCAGAAGCTTGAGGAAATTGAGACTTGCATTGAACACCTTGTCGTGTTCAAACACCATCTTGTAGAAGGTTTCAATGGGAAGGTCACCGTTTGGATCTGCATATTTCAGGGTGGTCATGGGTGTGTACAGAGTGTTAGTCTGATGGCGAAATGGTGGGTTCTCCATGGTAATAATTTTGAATGTGTGCTGGTTAGAGAAGAAATGACATACAGTATGGACTATTAGTAATTCAGAGAGAAAACAAAACATCTATTGGAATGGTAGATTGCTGCATGAAACTTTTTGGAAGTGTTGTCCAAGTACCTCTGCTACAACCTCTGGTGTTTGTCCAAGACTCTCAAATATCTGACTGTAATTCTTCAAGTAGATGTTTTGGAACATATCTGCAGTCACTTTATCAGCTTTGGAGAGGTCTATCTTCAAGCCTTCCTCATACACCTTACGCTCAAACTCTGTGACGACAGGTCCTGGTTCAATCAGGCTGATACTGCACAGATGGAAATAAAGTGGACATACAATGACAACTTAAATGTGACGGCCAAGGCATTCAATGGTTTCAAAACACATCAGAAGTTTCTAAAGTTTACTGCATCAATATATTATCATGAACTCTTGAACTGAGCTTGTTTACTAGTTTAGTTTTATAAACCTGGTATTGTATACCATGAATATTTGCTTGTTTTGGAAAAAAGTGTTTTATAAATTAATAAATGGATTTCACTTTATTTCAATGGTCCCTTTAACACATTCTGTTGACTATAAGTAACGTTGCACCTACATGTAGCCTAACTCCCATTAGAGTATTGATAGAGTATTAGTAGACTGGTAGGGTTAGGGTTAGAATAAGTTGACATGTACTTGCAGTAAGTTACTTATAGTCAGTAGAATATCTGTTGGAGGACCATCACAATAAAAGTGTTAACAGATATTAAGCAGAGAGTCTACTAATACTCTAATGAGACTTAAGCCCCATTTACACTGCATGGTTCAAGTGACCCAAATCCGATTTTTTCCTCTCATGTGGCACAGATCATATATGACATGTCCCCCCCACATTTCAAAATCTAATTTTTGCCCCCCCCCCCCCCACTATTTCCCAATGTAAGATTTTGTTTTGAACTGCCTGCCTATCTCTGCCGATTTCAGAGTGTCCAAATGAATCCATTCGGCAACTTTTAAATCCATAATTCGGCCGTATTCTTCAGCTGCTAATCTCGTTGTCAGTCGACCATGATCGCGCACCGCTCGCGCATGCGCATCTAGGTGACACGGATAAATGTACGCAGCGATATATAATGAGTGTTCCTGGGAGATCCTAGTTGCGCGGGATGTGGAAGCGTGCAAAAGTTCCAGAAATGTACATAAAGTGCCCTGGCCTTGAATGACAAGGTAAGGAAAATAAGACTAAATCTAAATTAAATAACCAAGACTAGGTTGGCCATGTGATTTTTCTCAGGAGATGTGTTGAGCATTTTACTGCAGACACCGGATTATTAGCAAACTACCAAGAGAACTGCTAGCTGGCTACTCAAAATAAACTAGTAATCTATTCAGGCAGCATATTTGTGTTTGATCTGTGTGAATTACAGAAATATAAGACTTGCTAGACCTACTTTTAGCTACCAAGGAACCTTTCCACAAGGATAGATTGATTTTATTTTTCAATCTATCCTTGGGGGGTAAGCTAGGTGGTTAATGGAAATTAAATCAACCATTTATTTGAGTTTTTAATTTTAATTAATCAGTACATGACTGATTAAGAGTAATGTAAATGCTAAATGTCCTAATACCTGTTGATACTACAACAATGCAAAGTATATGCTCTTAACCTTGCAGTTTTTCACATATCATGTAAGACTCATTTTCTCAATTTCTTTGCACAAAACGCTCCAGAAAGTGCAAGTTTAATGGTTTATTTTTAAAAAAAAAATCCGGGGAGAGCATACCCCCGGACCCCCCTAGGGAGAGCCCACATAATAAATCCCAATTTAATCACTGCTTTGAACCAAACTAAGTAATACAGTCTGTTCCCATAAGTCTTTAGAAATTAGCATTTAAGTGCCTTTATATATAAAAAAAAATATACAAAAATTCGGGACATCCCCCCCCCCCTCCCTAGCATTTACTGTCCCCCCCAGGTTCAAAATTGCTCCTACGCCCCTGTATGTGGTAATCAATCGGATATGAATCGGATACGTGCATTTGCATTAGGGCTGCACGATTTGGGGAAAATGTCATATTGCGATTATTGAGGTCAATATTACGATATGCGATTGCGATTTAATAAACAAATGGTTTCATGAGTCAACTTGCTTGGTTCTAAAGCAAAATGCACACACAGATTAGTGATAATTCTGAAATGTGTATTTCTCAACTCAAACTAGCAACAACAACTAAATGATTGATAACACCTATAATGATCAATAAGCCATTGATGTCTGGATAAAAATTTATTTAATTTTAATTTAAATGAACTTCAAACAATCCTCACATAAACCCATAATAAATGTCATATTTACCTGTGCTCTTCCTGTCTACATGTAGGACATATACAGAAATTGAATAAAGTTATCAAACAAACTGCGCTGCATAAATTATAAATTATATGGACTAAAATCTTATTTATAGCTACACAAGTTCTTTGATCAAGAGCAGTGAGTGTTTTTCTCTGTTCCCTTTGTTCTTTGATTAACTTTACTTCACAGGCAGCGCGCTCTCTTTTGACTTGTCTCGCTGAATGGTTTAAAGCATTCGCATGAATAAGAGCGGGATCATGTAACACTAGCCAAAGGATGACAAAAAATAACAGATGCTGCGTTAACAGCCCTAATTTGTTTATTTCATATAAAATCGCAGTATTTTGCGTCATATAATCGCATAGGCTTGACATCGCGATTACGATTGCGATATGATTAATCGTGCAGCACTAATTTGCGTGTACCATCATGTAACCAGACAAATCGGATATTCCCCAGTAAATGTGAGTCGTACGTCATTAAAAAAGTGACGTCAACTCAGGTGGACACCACCAACTGAGATCACATGACTTATTATAGGCACGATGGAGGACGAAGGATACACACAGAGGAGCAATGCGGAGGTTTCATGTCTTTTGAGTGTTTGGGGCGAAGAGACAGTGCAGGCAAAAATGCAGGGTTGTTACAGAAATAAATCTGTGTTTGAAGACATTTCACGAGATATGGCGAGGCACGGTTTTAAGCACTCATGGCTACAGTGCCAACAAGGGCTCTCCTCTTTTTTCTCCGCCGTACGAGACCAATGTTTTGCTGACTTTTTTGATGACTTTTCAAAAATATTGTGGAAAGCAAAACACTGGATAATTTTATTCACATCTGCATCCATTGCATTTCGTGCTTTTTACTTCCTTTTCCGGGTCAGAACGTCTACATTTGGTAGTTTCAGCAGTGTATAGTGTAAATGCAAAAATCAGATACGGGTCACTTTTAATTAAGATGATGTATAAGCGGGTCGTCAAAAAAATCGGATATGGTCAGAAAATCGGATTTGGGCATCAAGACCTGCAGTGTAAATGCAGCCTTAGTTGACATGTAGTTGCAAAGTTACTAATAGGCCTAGTCAACAGAATGTTCTAAAGGGATCATCAAAATAAAGTGTTACTTCTCTGTAGTGGGGTGGATGCATATGATCACTTACTTTAGATTGAATCTCAGAGCTTGAACTGCCAGACTCTCACAGAACCCTTCAACAGCAAACTTGGAAGCAGCATAAATGTCATTAAACAAAATACCTGTGTACATGAACACGACAGTGATTAGAGATGGTAAAATCCTGTTGAATCCTCTCAGATGTTCTTTAAGTCATTGTTTTTAATCCTTTAAGTATCCAAAGTTCGTTCTCTCACATAATGGTGTAAAGAGCTCAGATGCAAATATAAGGCTCACCCTGAATTCCCATGACACTGCTGATGACCACTATGTGGCCACTTTTTCTCTTCTTCATATCAGGCAAAACCTCCTTCATGAGTCGCACAAGCCCAAAAAAGTTGGTGTCCATGACAGTTTTCATCTCATCAATAGTCTGGCACTCAATGGGGCCGATTATTCCCATTCCAGCATTACTAACTGAAACGCAGAGAGCAGAGGGGTGGGAACAACAATACTGATTCAGGATAAATTAAACAAATCATTAGGTTTTCATAAGCCTTGAATATTAGCTTTTTTCATCTTATCTACAATTTCAAAAGCACTTTATAAATAAACCTTGATTGCGTATGTTCCTTACTGTATTTTCAGTGCTTTATTTGGTAAATCAGTACACCCTAATGCAAATGTGTAATCAGCTAATTGTGTAAATATATGGTTAAGAGGTTTCTCTGTTGTTCAAACATCAGAACAACAAATCTGATCTAAGTGATGTAAATCTCATCTCGTAAACTGCTGGGATTTTCATGCACAGTTCAAAAGTAATCCTGTAAGCAGCAATTGAGTGGGTGAAAATACCTTGTGAGAGATGTCAGAGCTGAATGGCGAGACAGATTAAAGGTGACGGAAATGTCAGAGTAGCAACGTTGAATGCAAAATGTTGAAACTTGAAGTGGGCGGGCTATAGCAGCTGAAGCCCAAATTGGCTTCTCTTGTCGGAACAGGAAACTAAAGTTGATTCCACAAACATGACACTAAGTTCAATGTACTCTAATGACCAAATTTACAGCAAATACATGATGTTATAAAGTCAACATGGACCAGAATCTCTAAGGAATGTCCTCAGATTCTTAAATCCATGCCTCAAAGAATCCATGCTGTTTTATGCTATGTGCTGGTTCCAGATTGGCTCTTTCAACTTCCATACCTGCAGCGACCATAGCATTACGATTATGTCCATGTCCTCCTTATACTATGGAGCCCCACACATGGCATGCGTGGGGGAAAAAATCTATATTGTGGCCACAAATTAAGAATTTACGGAGCCCCCCTAGTCCCACTTTGTGTATTATAACTATCTCGTGGCCTCAAGATAAGTAACTCGTGGCCTCAAGATAGTATCTTGTGGCCTCAAGATAGTAACTCGTGGCCTCAAGATACTATCTCGTGGCCTCAAGATACTATCTCGTGGCCTCAAGATACTATCTCGTGGCCTCAAGATACTATCTCGTGGCCTCAAGATACTATCTCGTGGCCTCAAGATACTATCTCGTGGCCTCAAGATACGAGGCCACGAAATACTATCTCGTGGCCACGAGATAGTATCTTGAGGCCACGAGTTACTATCTTGAGGCCACGAGTTAATATCTTGAGGCCACGAGATACTATCTTGAGGCCACGAGATACTATCTTGAGGCCACGAGTTACTATCTTGAGGCCACGAGTTACTATCTTGAGGCCACGAGTTAATATCTTGAGGCCACGAGATACTATCTTGAGGCCACAAGATACTATCTTGAGGCCACGAGTTAGTATCTTGAGGCCACGAGTTACTATCTTGAGGCCACGAGTTACTATCTTGAGGCCACGAGATAGTATCTTGAGGCCACGAGTTACTATCTTGAGGCCTCGAGTTAATATCTTGAGGCCACGAGTTACTATCTTGAGGCCACGAGTTACTATCTTGAGGCCACGAGTTACTATCTTGAGGCCACGAGTTACTATCTTGAGGCCACAAGATACTATCTTGAGGCCACGAGTTACTTATCTTGAGGCCACGAGATAGTTATAATACATTTTTTTGACAAAGTGGGACTAGGGGGGCTCCGTAAGAATTCATTCCCACAACTTATTAATTAATTTATTCCCTCACTTTAGTTCAATCGGGGCCACATTTGTTCAATTCGTTCCTTTTGTTTTAGGTAAATCATGCTCATGTTGTACTAATTAATTCACTCATTTTAATTTAGTTAAATTGTGACCATGATTTAACTAAAATGAGGGAACAAATAAGTACAACTTGGCCACAATTTATCTAAGGGTACGTTTACACAACAGCAATATACTGAAAACGTAAAAGTTTTTCCTTTTTTGTTTTTCCCGTACACACTACAATGTTGTCAAAACGATCCTGTTCACACCACGAAAAAAAAAAAATGCTGCGTTATGCATGCCAGGCCAGTAGTTGGTGATGTCACGCAATATGCATGCACATGACATCACCATTTTCACAAATTCACACGGATACGTTAACGGTATAGTTTTCAAAAACTTGCATTTTCAGGCCCCCAATATGCCGTTGTCGTGTAAATGAATGGCCAAAATGCATACTTGGTTTTTCATTTTTAGATAAAAACGCGTCGTGTAAATTGCCCCTAAAACAACAGAACAAATTATAATTTGTGGGAACTAATTCTTAATTCGTGGCTACAATATCTTGTTTTTTCCACTAAATGTCATGTGCAGGGCTCCATATTATGCTGTCTCTGATCCTTCCTAGTATTAGAAACATTATTATTATTAATACTTCCTACTACTAATATCAGTAGAGCTACCAAATGCAATGGCCGCTAAGTGAATACTATGTGTTTACATAAATATCGATAAACGTACTGTAGCATTTTATTATTGAGATAATATTGTTTAGAGCACTGAAACAAAGGAAAATTACAATGAAGCATTTGTGTTTTTACGTAAGAAGTACATCTAATAAAATCTTACTGAGAATGTCGACTCTACGCATGGGCAGGCTGTTGACACAGGCTTTGATAGAGTTCTCGTCACACACGTCGAGCTGCTTGATCTCCAGTGTGCGTCCCAAAGTACGACCCGCTGCCTCCACCAAAGCTTCTCCTTTAGCCAGGTTCCTCATGGTGGCATACACTGCCAAAGTCAAAACGTTTAGTTTAACTTCCATTTAAACTATAGTCTGCTAACATTTTCACTGACCAGATTTCAAGTAACAGATGGGGAACACAGTCATCATTTAATTACTAATAGATTAAAGATTAGCTACTTACTCTAAGAAAATCTTCAAGCCAAGTCAATTTATAGAGGACAATCCACAAGTTACTCATGAAGAAATATTATGATAAAAAATTTGTTTACTGCAATTTCTCAGCATATAAAGCAAACAGAGCACAGTTGTTGTAACCTTGTGAATATTTACTTTCTCATGCAAGTTCAAACTGACATAATCTATGCACTTTCACATTAGAATGATATAATGACTGCTTGATCTCCAACGTGCGTCCCAAAGTACGACATGCTGCCTCCTCCAAAGTTTCCCCTTTAACAAGTTTCCTCTCTGTGGCATACACTTCCAAGGCTCAAAAATATAGCCTACAGTCAATTTCATTTGAACTAAAATAAAGGTAACAGGGTAACAGTTTTGGGACATGCAAGTGTGCTAATTTGCTGAGAAAATCAGGCAAACATACAAGGTGATCAGTTAGAGTTGTAACACTGTTGTTTCACCACTAAAAATAATTAAGACATAAATAATTCATTCACAAAAATACTGAACTGATACATAAGCATACATTACAATGATTTAGTATAAAATGTGTCAGTATATTTCACTTAAATGTAGACTTACTATCTAATTTGCCACTCTAAGTATGCTGCAACTGTCCCAGGGCAGTGTTACAGTTGTACCTGGTGCGGGGTAACAGAAGCACTCCTGGTCCTTAACCATTAATAGTGGAAAATATATATTATCTATGTAGGTTTTTGACATTTATTTTTTGATAATGTGTAAAAAAAGGTTACACAAATAAAAATATGCATGTAAAAAAAATGCATGTTTGTTTTGAACAGTATTTGTGCAATACAAAAGCAAAATTTCTGTTCAAGAAATCAAGAAAAAAACTGTTCTTGATCTACACCACTATTATACTACTATAACCTACATTCACAATATTTGTATGTATTTTATATGCTGGTCTTACCCATAAACCTCTTCTTCTCATCTCTGGCAATACGAACAGCAAGTGCCAATCCAATGCCAGAAGAACAACCAGTGATCAGAACAACCTTTTGATTCATGGCTGCAACAAAAATGTTGCTTTCGCTGACAATGCAGTGAGACAAAGAACAGCAAGTAAAAGACGGCTAAGAATAACTGGAAACGAGATAAAGAGACAGAATGATTGGGAGCTTGAGAGATGAGCTAAAACTTACTCTTGCTAATCCACTGCATAAAGACTCAGCAGAATGACCCACGTGTCACTCTGGTCTAGACATGTGGTGGACAATACGTAACAATACGACTGCCGAGACACAAGTTCTATGCACCGCTGTGGTCTAAAAGAAATATCTGATAAAACACAAATATCACTGTGATTTTGTAAAACATAAAATCATATACACACATACTACTGTTCAAATGTTTGGGGGCAGTAAAATTTCTTTTAACGTTTTTAAAAGAAGCCTTTATGCTTACTAAGGCTGTATTTATTTGATCGAAAATACTGTAAAAACAGTAATATTATAAAATATTGTTACAATTAAAAAAAAACTCTTTTATTTTTATATATTTAAAAAAAGTAAATTATTCCTGTGATGCTCAAGTAACATTTACTATTATCATCACATTTGAAAACGGTTGTGCTGCTTAATATTATTGTGGAAACCGTGCTACATTTTTTCCAAGATCCTTTAATAAATAGAAAGTTCAAATAAAATAGCATTTATTTAAAATAGAAACTTTATGTAACAATGTAAACGTTTTTACTGTCACTTTTGTGAATGCAATGCATCCTTGCTAAAAGTATTCATTTATTTTTTTCTTTCATTCTATAATGTTCCGTTTGCTTTCAATTTCATGGTCGTTTAGTTTGAACATTTTTGTTTCCTGTGTTTTTCTTTTTTGTTTCCATGGCTTCTGTAATTTTCTCATTTACTGTATTGTCATAATGACTTGTTGTTTGTTTGATTGATTTGATTCACCTGTTCCTTGTTTAGAGTTTTGTCCGTTCATGTTTATTTTTAGTAACACTGTTTCCTGTGTTTCCTTTGTTTACATGTTTTCTAGAATATTCTCATTTGTTGCCATAGCAATTGTTTGAATTCCATCACCCTTTTAGCCCTTTAGTTTCTCTGTGTATTTAGAGCTCTTAGTTTGTCATTCTTCGTCCATTCTCATTTATTTTTAGTCGGTTGTTTTCTCCTGCGTTCAAGTTTTTGCGTGTTTATTGGTTTAGTTTATTGTTAAATAAAGTGCCTGCTGCGTTTAGATCTTGCCTTAACTGCTCTTCCTTGCTGCAACAGACTGTGACATTAGAAAAAATCTTACTAACCCCAAACTTTTGAACAGTAGTGTAGTCAAGTCAAGTCACCTTTATTTAAATAGCACTTTTTACAATACAGATTGTATCAAAGCAGCTTCACAGTGATAACATGAATTTCTTTTTAGAAAAGTTTGTTTCTAGAAGAAAATTGCTTCAACGTCCACCTGAAGTAAGGCAGATCAATAATATTGTTGAATATTAAATGTCCCCAACTAATCAAGCCAAAAGCCAAGGCAACAGTGGCAAGGAACCAAAACTCCATCAGGTGACAGAATGGAGAGAAAAACCTTGGGAGAAACCAGGCTCAGTCGGGGGCCAGTTCTCCTCTGGCCAACGAACGGACAGTGTATGATTATGATTCAGGCAGCATTACAGGTCAGAAGTCAGATTGGATCAGAACATTCACAATATTTATCCAGTTCCATCTGGTATGGAGAAGAGTTTGTTGAGGCCTTCACAGGGCTGATGAGGCTGGCACTTCAGGGATGCGTTGTGGTCGTGTCCAGGCACAGGATACGGCCCGGATCTGTCTGACTTCAGTAAATCTCTGAATAAATGGAGAGACTAACATTAACGTAGATGCCATTCTTCTTATGATGTAACGAGTACATCGGGTGTTGTAGGAAGTGTCCTCGGTTCCACCTGACCTAATCTAAGCAGCCTAATAATCATTTAACTGATTTGAATTATAGAAATGTATAATGTTCTATGTGAATGCCAGGTAAAAGATATGTGTTTTTAGTCTAGATTTAAACTGACAGAGTGTGTCTGCTTCCCCGACAATGTTAGGGAGACTTTTCCAAAGTTTATGTGCTAAATAGGAAAAGGATCTACCGCCAGCAGTCGATTTTGATATTCTAGGTATTATCAACTGGCCAGAATTTTGAGATCGCAATAAACGTGAAGGACTATAATGCGTTAAGAGCTCGCTCAAGTACTGGGGAGCTAAACCATTTAGTGCTCTGTAGGTAGTCAGCAATACTTTAAAATTTATATGTTGTTTAATAGGGAGCCAATGCAGTGTTGACAGAACCGGGCTAATATGGTCATACTTCCTGGTTCTAGTGAGAACTCTAGCTGCTCTAGCTTAATGTTTGTTTATTAAGCGTGCAGGGCAACCACCCAGTAGAGCATTACAATAATCTAGCCTTGAGGTCATGAACGCATTAACTAACTGTTCCGCATTTTTCATTGAAAGCATATGTCGTAATTTATATATATTTTTAAGATGGAAGAATGTGGTTTTACAGATGCTAGAAACGTGAAATTCAAATGAAAGATTGGTATCAAAGAGACTTGACAGAGCAGCCATCAATTGTTAGACAGTATTCTAGGTTATTAAGTGGTGAAGTTTTTTGGCCAATAATTAGGATCTCTGTTTTTTCAGAGTTAAGTAGTAGGAAATTACTAGTCATCCAAATTTTTATATCAGCTATGCATTCCGTTAATTTTGTGAATTGGTGCAATTCGTCGGGGCGCGAAGAAATATAGAGCTGAGTATCATCAGCATAACTAATGGCATGCTTCCTAATGATATCTCCTAAGGGTAGCGTACAGAGTGAACAGCAATGGTCCTAGTACTGAGCCTTGTGGTACTCCGTACTGAACTTTTGATCGATAAGACATCTCTTCGTTTACTGCTACAAACTGATAATGGTCAGATAAGTATGATTTGAACCTTGCTAATGCAATTCCAATTCAACATGTCGAATCGGCCAAAAAAAGCCGGTGAGGACCAATTTCAGCCGACGGTGCGGAACACAGAAAACTTAGTCGACCAACGCACAAAAACTGACCGACGGCCGACCGTCAACTTGGTGTGTCCTGGGCTTTAAGGGCCCGAGTCACAGGCGTAACTATCGGTAAGCAGGGTACGCGGTTGCTTACGGGCCCGGACCAATCAGGGGCCCGCGCGTGACTGGAAGATATTGATTAACAGCCGGGCCCCCAAACGCATTTTACTACTTTTAGTCTGATCGCATTTTACTTTATCGCAAATTTATTTGAATAAATAATGTCAACAACATAGTGTACTGATCATTAGATACAAGTATGAAAAGACCAATGATGGATTTTGGTGTAATTTGTTTCGAATTGGGACTGGGGAATCCCCGGGTTGGTAAGTGAACATGCGTATTGCGTGCAAAACAGTAAAAACGATGAACTTGAGACAGACAATATCGACAGGCTACTCCTGATTTTGTCAGTCATCTCATCTCTTATATGCTGTGTCTCTATGATCATATTAGGCGCTTTCCGACCAAGTAGTTACAGGAACTTAGTTATAGGAACTGTCCACTTCTAAACAGTTCTAAGAACTACTCTCCCCCAAACTCGGTTTTGCTGTTTGCGTTCGCACTGGCCAAGTGGCCTTAGGAACTGGTAGGAGGGGTAAGGGAGTGACGCAAGCTGGTGGCGGCGGCGCCACATACAACAACAACAAACCAGCGTGGAGGAGGCTATCGGAATGTTCCTGTTCTGCCTTGCCGGGAGCTTAATAACGAGTACGAACGGCGGCGTTTAAAGACTATGCTTGAGTTCTGTACAGAGAAACAAAGAAGACGAAGGCTCCAGCGTAATATGATCTTAAGTAATATAATGGAAGAAGATAGAAGAGCAGAGCGCAGGAGACAAACAAAACGACGGGTAAGTTTAGCAAGCATAGCAATTAGCTGGTTGAATGCGTTATGTTATGAGTTAGCATAGCATACATAGGCGAATTGCAACAGACAGTGAATAAAATGTGTTGACACTGGGCGTGACTTATAAGTTGAACCAATCAACGTAGACCTAGGGAAAGGGAACTAAAAAAGTCCTCGCTCTAGACTAGGTACTGAAAGAGTTATAGGAACTACGGTCTGAGGAACTAAAAAATCCCCAACTTAGTCCGGTCGGAACACGTGAAAAAAAAGGTTATAGGAACGTTAGGTTCTAGGAACTGCAAAAGTCCCTCCGGTCGGAAAGCGGCTATTGTCCTATTCATGGTAGCCTACTCGTGGACATTGCGTCATCACGTGCTGTAGGGGGGCCCGCCTTGATAATCCTGCATAAGGGCCCGGTGTTGGCTCGTTACGCCACTGGCCCGAGTGTGCTCGTTGTACCATGGCGTTGGACTATTTTCTTTAATCTTCTTTAAGCGCAATGGAGCAATTGTGTCTAAAGTGCTGGAAAAGAGAGTCAATCATTTCTGTTGCAACATCGAGTTCTTCTCAACTATCTGGGATGCTGACGAGATTAAACTGATCAGGAAGATTATTTATATAGCCTTCCGTATCCCTTCCAGGCCACCACTGCATGAAACACACAAGGTGAGTATTCTGGAAGCAATCTTTAGTGGCAGAAGTGATAGTTCTAGATATTTATAACACAGCAGCCTTGGCTAAATTAAGTATACATGAGATTAAATAATGATCTGAGATGTCATCGCTCTGCTGCAGAATTTCAACGGCATCAACATTTATTCCATGTGACAATATTAGGTCTAGAGTATGATTACGACAATGAGTAGGTCCTGACAATGCCAATCCCAATGTATCTTTTTCATTATCTACATGGATATTAAAATCACCAACAATTAGGACTTTATCTGCAGCTAGTACTAACTCTGACAGAAAATCAGCAAATTCTTTGAGAAAATCTGAATTGTGGCCTGTATACAGTAGCCAGCACAAATCTCAAACGTGGTTTATCATTTACACTATATAGTGTTACATGAAGCACCAACACTTCAAAAGAATTATATTTAAAACTAGACTTCCGAGTAGTACTGAAGATATTGCTATAAATAACAGCAATACCTCCCCCTTTTCCTTTTAAACGAGCCTCGTGTTTATAGTAGTAATCTTGCGGGGTGGACTCAT